ATTTCTTTGAAATCTACTCAGTTATCAACAAAAATTAGAAATAATTGACGGCCATACACATTTCACGGATTATAAGAACGATATGACTTAAGACGATTACTAACCAAGTAATAATAATAATAATAATAATAATAATAATAATAATAATAATAATAATAATAATAATAATAATAATAATAATAATAATAATAATAATAATAATAATAATAATAATAATAATAACAATAATAATAACAATAACAATAACAATAACAATAACAATAACAATAACAATAACAATAATAATAATAATAATAATAATAATAATAATAATAATAATAATAATAATAATAATAATAATAATAACAATAATAATAATAATAATAATAATAACAACAACAACAACAACAATTTCAATGGGCATGTAAGCATACATGATTATTAGCACCCTGAACAGCGTTGAGATAAAATAAATGACAAACTAATCAGAGGTCTCCTGTCAATGATTATAACATTACAGTCTTAATAGCACACTGATATGGTCAACACAGTGACACAAAATCACACATTTAACACAAATTAAGAATCGCCGGCTAACGAACATTTACCTGTCTTGCCAACGTTCTCGATGATGTCTTCCTTTTTTTACACTTTTATCGATATTCCTCGGCTTAACCGGAGACAGAAACCTTTACGTCATGATGGGAAGTGTTGTTGCTACAGACTGAATGTGATGAGAGAGTGCAGTGGTAGACACATGGGTCTCGAACCAACACGTAATACTGACACACACAGGCCAGGTCCCTCCTGTGATGCCAAATGATGTTGGGGCTATATTAGTTCTGCTTTTGTTTGCCTTTGGAGTATTTTTGGGTCCAATATCAATGGTAGGATATTTATATGGAGGATCATTAGACATAAATTGTTAATAGAAAGAGTGTTCTAATATTAGAAGTGTGTTTGCCGAAATTACTATAAATTTACATTATCGTACATCGAACTTGTGCGAACCGCCTTCCCGTTTCCATAGTAACGCGACGCTACTAGAAGCGGCAGTACGAAAACTTCCTCAATATGGCTTAATATTTCTATTTCCCTAGATATTACTATGAAACTTTATACTTACCTTGCAAAAGAGTTACTTCTTTTCAATACAACACTATCACCTTTATATTTTTTTGTAGTTCCCTAAATATTATCAGATCGTCTTAATATATGATTATAATGACTATGACCATTAATTTACAATTTGCACAAAAACAACACAACCGCAAACATGAATCGAGAAGTAAAATTAAGAAAAATAACGAAAAAGTTTTCTTTGAGTAAATACTTTCAACTGAATATATCACACCGCACTATCATGGAATTTCTTTGAGATAGTACTAATATTACTCTTCCTATTGAATTAGAAGATAACTCGTTAGTGACAAATCTCAAAGGAAGTTCACTGGGATTTGTTTGCTTGTAAGCCCTCAAAATTCTAGTAATATTAGTGATAGTAGTTAAAGTTGTCGTACTAGTACTAGCTGTAGTAGTAGTAGCTGTAATAATAGTAGTAGTAGTTGTAATAGTATTAGTAGTTGTTGCAATAATTGTAGTAGTTGTAATAGTCGTAGTAGTGGTTGTAGTAGCTGTAGTAGTTGTATTAGTTGTTGCTGCTGTTGTAGTAGTAATAGTTGTAGTAGCAGAGCAACAGCAGCAACACTACTTGTTACTATTACTACTGTTGCTTGTACAAGTACTAGCAGCAGCAATAGTAGTAAAAATAGCAGTAGTGACATTGTCAATAGTAATGTAGTAAATATCAAAAACTATAAGATTATAAAAATAATGGAGGAAACCACAGACATGCTGAAAATACTTAAAAATTATAAAAATGATCCATAAAGAGATAAATTATAAAAATAATAAAACATGATGGTTGATGATGGATGAGGGCAATGATGATGATGATGACAATGATGACAACCATCATTATAATAGTAATGATAATGATTACAAAAATATCAATGAAAACCATAATAATGATAATAACTATATCAATAACAATAAAATTATTAATGATAATTACAATAAAAATATGATGATAATGCTAATATAAATAATAATAATGATAATAATAACAGTAATAAAGATAATATAATGAATAGATATATAAATGAATGAATAAGAAAAGAGAAAATATTTGCTCTCTTTCTCAAGAACTTATAGATTTACTTTTAAGCATATATTGTTTCTACTAACTTCTCCCTTAGAGGATATCCAAAAAGATAAAGGGAAGAAAAAGCAAGAGAGGAAAATAAGAGAAAAAAAATGGAAACACAAACTATGAAGAAGAATCTGGAAAAAATAGAGAAACGAGAAATAGAAAACACAGAATAAAGAGAGAAAAAGTAACAAAGCGAGAAAGAATTATTTTCAAATTTATATCTATGACTGTGCTTAGCTGTCATAGATATCGAACACACAACAGTATTGGCATCTAACAAAAAAAATGGGGGAAAATAATACAACCCACAACCATATATATTTGCTTTTACTGTAAAACAAAACCTTAGAATACAATAGTCTGCGTATCCTTCAAAAAATGGTCACATGGACCTAGAATACCCTGGGACTGGAAGTGAATGCCCCACCTATTAATTACATAAAAACTTCTCTTTCGTAAATAAAACCTGAATTATTTATCATCACGTTCTGGGTAACATAGTTTATTTCACCCAAAAGCAATGGCTATCTTGTACCTCCATCAAAAGTTCATCTGGTTCCACCACAATGTAATAAAAAAAATGATGAACCCCAAAATTTGAGGTTTTAATAATTCTTGTAACAGATTAACAGGCACGGCCAAGAGCCAATTCCTTCATCAAACATATTCTAGTTCCACAAGAGACATTCTGGTTCTGGCATTTCCAACTGGCTCAGAAAACGTGTGAGGTACAAGTTCTCGTAGCCGACATGGTAAGTAATTCTCCTTAAATACCATCACCTTCATGGCCACTAAGGTCATGATAACAAAACATGGCAATGCAAACTTCATCTTCACTCATCATTTCCGAGAAACTTGAAGAGTGTTAACATCCTTGAACAATGCTAGTGACGGACATAATGAGATGAAGATTCCTCTTCAGAACAACAACACACTCGAATGCATAGACTATGCCAGAAAATATTCACCCAATTTCAATGAAAATTTCATTTATGATTTGCATAAAATTATCAAACTAACACACACACTAACTATTAGAGTATTTAACCTAAAGTGAACTGCTGTGACACTTGCCCCGCTGGGCCATACGTGCACACAATGTCCGACTGGCTGACATGTTCTGTTGCAAAGGTGGTCATGTTGTTTCCGAAGTCTACCTCATAGGCACTTTCCAAGGTATTATCCAAGGGCTTGTCTCCCTTCGTGGACTGAAAGAAAGAAAGGAAAAGGCAATATATCAATAAAAGACTACAATACCACCTCATAGTAAGAATCTTAATTTGCAATTACTGCAAATTACTACTTCCTTCCATTTTCTCACTAGAGAGATCATTTACCTTGACAACACAAAAAAAATCAACTACACCCACTGCTTATTATATATGGCAATTTCAAATGAACAAATACGTAGTAGTAAGAACTTGAATGAAATGTCATCTGGTTAAAAAGGGGGAAAATACTTTCAGTCAGGTTTCTTCGCAAATTGCAATATGTCCGTGAAAGGTATTGTGTATAATAGCCTGTCTGTTTATTACACCTGGGAAAGCCACACATTTCAAATTATTTAATGCATGACAAAATTCATGATCTTTGTTTCCATAGACTGTTCATCCCTAGCCCATACATGACCGATTTCAATTTTTAGAATGATAGCATATACAACCTCAGATATAACAAAGGGTTTAGGAACATTTGCTTACCATATGATGCCAAGACACAAGGACAAGTCCAAAATATGAAAACACAAATTACAAATTTAATTATATTATTGCTCAAATAAAAGTTCTCATCATAAGATGTATATGTAACTGGTCTGATATACAGTATTAACATTGGTTCAGTACTGGCATTATAAAAGGGCTTATCTTTTCTTTCCCATCTCTCCTTTAAAATCTGAAGTCTACTTTCTCAGCACATCAAAAGTCAGTATCTTTGCTTCAACAAATCATTTTCCACAAGGACGGTAACAAAAAATTTGTACTCCTCCCCTACTTATAATAAGCATATTCAACTATCTCCTTAACTTGCCTGAATCATCTAACTTGAGCTATCACTTCAGTTTATAAGAATAAAAAAATAATAATAATAATAAACTAAACTATTGAACTAGAGTTTTATGATAACTCACCTCCCGGAATTTTTGTAAGTAAATTTTAAGTGGTTCTACGTAGTTTTCAAATCCTAAAGCATTCATGGCCCAGAGAATATCTTCACCATTAATGGTCTTTCTTTTTTCCTGTAAACAATTAAAATCATTTAGTGCATATGACCGTTTAGACAAAATAATTAATACCTGGTAATGATAATCCAGGAAAGAAAATCAGAATCAGAAAAGAGAAAAAAATAGAAACTGTAAGTAAATTTATTCATGACTGTAAACACTTGCAGCAGCTTTGAAACAGGAAAGATCCTTTCTTGAAATTATACTGGCCAAGTCCTGTGTAAAATCATCAAAAATGGCCATTAACTGTAATCGAATGTCTATAATCACAAGTTTAACAGAACAGTTGTGCAGTATCAAGTGAATCCTGTGGTCTACACCTTGCAAATGCACCCCCCCCACCCCCATTAAAAATATATAATGTATATTTTAGCTTGACAAACTTTAGACTAGTACTTTGTTCAACCTACTGCTGCCTGGAAAGATTAGTGTTCACAAATTCTCTTTTGTGAAATGTCTCTACACATAGATGGCTCCACAAATGCTCACACCTAGGAGTCAAACAATAGACTTTATGACTTCATCTGATTTCACTGTCTATTAATTTTTAGGATTCTTTTTTTTCTTTTCTTTTCTTTTTAAATGGTGTTAACAATACTAATGCTATTATTTCTATTATACACATTATTATTACTATGTCATAAATGTTACTAACAACAATATAAGACCAAAGAAACTATTTCCAAAAATCAAGGAAAATCGTAAACAAGTGAAAGAGGTAGTACTTGGAATGGACTCATTTAAACGTGTACTTATGGAGCCATCTACATGTAACTACAATTAACACTCTAAACGCACAGTGAGTATGCCACCCACCGCAGTATCGAAATAACAAGAAATTGCTTGTGGTATACAAGTTTTATCTTGCTTGAGTGTATAGATTTTTTTTTTCTTTGCTTCAATACACACATGCAGAAAAAACAAAGAATATCAGTGAAAACTAATCATCAATTATATCTATTAAATGCTCTTATTACCTGATGACAGCGATCTGAAGCTTCACTCGTTACAAAGCTGATGAATTCACTCACACATTCCTGTACACATTCTCGGGCGTCCTTTGCAATCTGGGGACAAAGATAAAACAATTTAAAAGCTAGCACTTCCAATTCCAGTTTGAGCCTTATATAACATTATAACTGACAGGTCAAACATTAATCAAGTGTGAATAGTAACATCCCTAGCAATTTTGACGAGTTATGTAGCATATATATCCATAACTATCTTCAAAGTCTATATTCAACTTTACTCATGCTCCTTAGCTACAGCAAAGAAGAAGAATGACGTACTTTGTTTCCTCCTACCTTGCCAGTCTTTGGGATTCCCTTCTTCATGATCCGCGCAACATTAGCAATGGGCAGGAAGCGGTCTTGTTCTCGGAGAAGATGCGGGAGGTCTTCCTTGTCTTCATCATCGTGTTGGTGTCCATGGCCAACATGGCCCTCAACCATGTACTGTTCAGAGGACAGGAAGGAAGCCCCGATGTCGTCGCTTTCGGCACCTTCCATTATGTCTTCTTACACACCTTTACATAGATGTATTCTATTATTATAACTGTTTTTTTGTTTTATTTCAATGACTTACTACCACAAAATTTGCTTCAACTTTGGTTGATAATTTATTAATTTGTAAACAAAACAAAACAAAAAAGAATACAAACTAAAGAATATATACTTTAGACATACAGAATATGTTAACTCATCAGAAAAAAATAAACAGATAGAAAGATAAATCTAATCATATGTATGTATATAGCTATATATGTATATGTTTATATATATGAATATGTATATATGTATGTATGTATGTATGTATATATGTACGTATGTATGTATGTACATATGTATGTATGTACGTATGCATGTATGTATGTGTATGTATGTGTGTGTATGTGTGTGTATGTATGTGTATGTGTGTATATATGTATGTATGTATGTATGTATGTATGTATGTATGTATGTATGTATGTATGTATGTATGTATGTATATGCATATCTAACATATATATCACTGCAATCAGAAAGAGAGAGACAGTGTGTGCAGATGCATGTATGTAAAGACACACACACACACATATATTGATATTGATACAGATATGCATATATATATATGTATATATATATATAATATATATATATATATATATATATATATATATATATGTATATATAATTATTATCTATCTATCTATCTATCTATCTATCTATCTATCTATCTATCTATCTATCTATCTATCTATCTATCTATCTATCTATCTATCTATCTGTATGTATGTATGTATGTATGTATGTATGTATGTATGTATGTATGTATGTAGGTTTGTATGTATGTATTGTATGTATGTATAATTACAGGTATATGTATATTCATACATATGGACTTCATGCATTTCCTGAAAAACCTGATGGCTAGGTTTTAGTAACTTAATTTGTAAGATAAAAGTAAGCTTATACTACAAGAGGAAAAGGCATAAAGAAAATTATGAAACAATTGATATTCCATGAAATATTATGTCAATTGATTCTGAAATCACCAAGCAATTTACCTTTATTAAACAAACCATATTGTCTATTTCATACATCAAAATTACTAAAATCAAAAGGAAACTTATTAAGATATCCCATTAAACTAACAAAAAAGATAAATTAAAAATTAACATGTAGCTAGTTTTAATATCAAAGAATCTAATCATAAAATCTCATTTCAGTATATATCAGATATTACAGACTTCCAGTTGCTAGTAAATATGAAATGTTCACCATATCAAATATTGCATTGACTTGAGACTTCAAAACAATCCTACATTACTTAATTGCAGAAATTACATTAATAAATGCACACAGTTAATTCCTCTAGGATATCTTTAAACTTGGCACTCATTAAGAGCAATCTTTTCACTCAAATTGTAAATAAAAAACAATGCTAAACTTGACCTACATGCTCCATAACCCCATATCCTTATTCCTATTTATCCAAAGTACGTGCTGAAAGGCAAACGAGGCATCAGATACCGTAAATATTTCTTGCTAGAACACCCTGCCTTTGTTTTGGCAGGATGAGCAACTATTTCCTTGCAGCAGGACGCAGA